TATATATATATATATATATATATATATATTTTTTTTATGTATATGTATTTAAATGTAACAATTTTTATCACATGCTATACGTATCTGTGTGAATATATAATCAATCTCGAATTGTATTTAAATAATTACAAGAATCTCCAAATATGTGTTATTTCTACGTATAAATCTATGTGCCAAAAGTTTATTCTTCACGCAAACAGTAACATTAAATTCGTCAAAGTTCGACAAATTTTTAACTACGCGTGACATTATAATAATAAAACGATACAATTGCTTACTTGTGATACCTTAGATACAACATTAATTTCATAGTTGAGAAGTTTTTAAATAGGAATAACATTAAAATGATAAAATGATTTAATCTGTGTAATAATACGTGCTAGAATTATTTTAGAGATAACATTAAATTCGTATTCGAAATAGTTAAATAAGCTTAAAATGATTAAATAATACAATCTAGTACATGCTTATAAAACTTTAAGATAACATTAACTATAATGGAGGAATTTTTATATCGGCATAATATTAAAATAATAAAAAAAATGATACAGTATCTTACGTGTTCCTAATATTTTAGAATATTCATATTTATTAAAGATTCAAATATAGACGGAACATTTGCTCAAATAATATATTATAAACATAATTTGTTGAAATATTTGACAAATGTCCGACGGTATTCATACTTTTCTCTTCTTTTCGTATTTAAAGCTTTTTATATGCTTTTTTTCTACTTGTTTACGAATATTACAAAATTTAATGTAACAATATATTTATTTTCGCAAGACATACATTTGTTTAAATATTCGATAATTTTGTCAAAGCCTTTAAATGATGATTTTTAATAACATGGATAGTATGTGTGTTTTTTACGCATTTACCAATATATCTAAACTTTTACTTCTTACATGATTCTTTAAAATTATTTCATAAAGTCATATAAAATGTAGACGTGCGAACGCGTCAAAAGATGTTTACACAAGTATTGTAAAAAGGAACTAAAGGAATATACATTTCGTACGTGGATTTGGAGATATACTGTTTTCTCATGTATAAGAAAACAATACATTTATGTCCAACTACGACATATATAATTCTCCAGTTCATTCTTAACACAGTCGTTAGAGATTTGCTAAGGGTTCTGACTTCTACTTTTTTCACGATAATACTGCATAAAAAAATAATATTTTTATGTTGAATTGAAAAATATATAATCAGTAGTTTCTTTCTTCAAATATTAAGTGACGTAGACAGATCTGTTTTAAGCTGCAGAATGCGATTTTATAAAATTTACATAAATATTTCGAACAAGTACTAATTATCTGAATTTTGTTACATATGTGCTGAGTACGTCACTCGAAGATTCGTCACTAGAGAAAAATTTTGTTGTATTCACGAAATTTAGTTTTTATAAATGTAGTAACACAGTATTTGATTTTAAAGCATAATTTAAAGAATATTATGTTTTAAAGTAATGACTATAATTATATATATAATATATAAATTTAAACAATTTTGTTAAGTTATAAATTTATAAATATATATGTATTTGAATTTACCAATTTTATATATTTATAGACACAAAACTGATATGCGACAAATAAGTCAAATTATACGTTAATGTCTTCATGTAGTTCAAATCACTCAGGTCAAAGTCAAGACTGTCGTTATCGCTGGTCATGAGATGCTACTTAAAAACGTCGCTACCATCATTTCCATTGTCCAATGTAGATAAATCTATAAACATTTGTAATATATAAAAACATATATTAATTATTTGATTTTTGTTGTTTTTATTATATTTTGATTGATTACACCATTGAAAGAATAAAATATAATGATAAATATTACTA